GATAACATTCTCGAACATTCTCTTCAATCCATTATCCGTCTGCTTTTCATTTATCCCGACTGCATTGCCTTGATTCAATCGAATTGTTTTCGTTTTTCTCGCTCTGTCAAATTGTTTTTATTCAATTATTCATCTGAAATTCCGTTACTGATTCTATTTCAGCCGTAAACTCACCAATTCTTTCCATTTTGCCCATAAGCTCGCCATCATTTCGAAATTCAGTTGTTTTTATTGATTCCAAGAATATTCATCAATTTTCAATGTCAAAGTCAGTCATCCATGTTTATGCACGGTTAAATGTTGAAAATACCATCTCACAATGGGTTATAAATAGGAACATTCTCATCAACATTTAATCTCATTTCATATTCGAAGTATAATTTTTCACGCTTAAGGCTCGCTTCACAGATTTTATTTCGATTGTTGATGTTTGAAATGTTAAAAAATTGATTATTTTCAATTGGTTTGCAATTCAGATCTCATTAGCCGTGTCTGCTCGGCAATAAGTGGAATTACATAAAAAAAAAGAGCTTTAATTTTAGCCAAGTTCATGAAAATACTGCTAGCAGTTCACCTACAACAGTTCAAAAAGAATATCTTATCGAGGTATTTATGAATCAAGCAATATTTAATTTTAATTGATTCTCAGCTTTACACCCACGCTATTCTGCTGACGTTTACACCATTCTTTCGTCAGTTGAGATATGAAAATTGCTAAGAGTTATCGTAACACTTACACCTTGACTGAATGGTGTGGATTCTTTTTCTCTTGAAATTGTTTCTCTTTTTTCCCTCAGGGTCATTGAATATGAATTCAATGGAATCATTAGGTCTATTTTGTAGCGTAAAAGATATGTATTGTGCCTCAGTTGAATGACATTTCGAAGGTATCAATGTCGCGCCGCATTTAATCATCATCGTGAAGTTGTTCACACGACAGCATCACTAATGAGAAAGAATGCTGCCGAGCCAAACGGAGGGATAAAGAGAGAGTTAGAGAAAAAGAGAGCTAAAAAGAGGAGAGTTTGAGTGCCGAAAATATGATAAATGCGTCCAAACTGAAAATGGTAATTAGGTTGCTCTGAATAAATTATATTCCAAAAGCGACGAACGATGTTTCGAAATCCAATTAATTATGGAAAATATTTTCGACACCGATTCTACCAAACAGTATATGCTAACATGATCATGTTTATATGACCATTCAAGCAAAAATATGTATGAATGTGTATGTGCGCCTGATTCTAAATCACCGGATGAATTTTCAGACGAATATTTCATATTTTAACAAGGACGATTCAGAGCGAGGGAGAGAGCGAGAGAGGGAAGGATGAATTGTGATGGCATTTAAACTGTGGCAAATTATTTAGAGGCAGAGAATTAAACGAATATTGAGTTCCAGTGCACTGCATTTTTGAATTAAAAATTTACATTATGAGTCAATGTTTTTGAGCATTCGAACCATGATCGGTATACTGTTTTTTTTAAATTAATTAACGCGTGTTTAATGAGCATGTGAATTACAAACTTTTTTACATTCGGTTCGTTGCTGTTCATGCCAACGAATTTTGGGAAATTGTGTGAATTTTTGAATAATTTACATCATTAAAGTGGCATAAATATTCCATTTTAAAGTGAAATTCCAACGGCTGACATAATTTAGATTTATCTGGCGCGTAACACGGCTACCTGGCATTTTAATAACAAACCAGTTGCGATGGTCTGATAAATAATACAGATTGGGTGAAAACATTTAAAATTGACCGGAATTTATTCGATATGAGGGTATTTTCGTTATCTTCCTCTCCGTCGCTATATTGGGAACAGACACAGTAGAACTAGCACTTAGTCTTGAACATGAAAGCAGTCAAAGTGTTTGCCATCGTTTGTTCATTTGGAATGTGCATTGCCGTTGGATTTGCATTGCCAGCATCAGTTGGCAAAGGTAGAATTATTATTGGCGGACAAATTGATGTTTCACCCCAATTCAAATACCAAGTGTCATTTCATTTCATTGACAAAGGAACGCAGTAACCATTGTAGTGGATTGTTATAGCAAATCGATGCGTAAACATTTATCCAATTGACAAAATTAAAGTTGTCTACGGATCGGTAAGATTAAATAAAACGGGTATAAGTGGTGAAACAGCTCGCAGAGTTTCACACCCAGACTACAATCCATCGTACATTGAGAACAATATCGCACTCGTCATGGTCAAGGAGAAAATTGAATATTTTCCAATGGCCGTTGGCACGGTAGCATTGTCTATCAATCTCAAACCAAATTGCACATGTCAGTGGTTGGGGCGTATTCGAGAAGAAAAATGAAAGTTGGGAATGCTATTCAAATACACGTTGCAGTATCAATCGACTTAAATAATATCACTTGATGAGTGCAGAGCTGGCACCATGCCAATTCAAAGGGCCTCTTTGATTGAATTTAATAGATTTTCTAATGTTTAGCAAAATAAAAAAAAACAAGCTGTTTATAGGATCTTTGTGGTTTGATCTTTTAATTTTTTTGTGGTTTGTTTCATTTGTTGTTTGAACAGATCCACCTAGAAAATAAAGCAATTATCATGTGAAAACACTCCCAAATACTATATGCTCAATCGAAAATTCATTTCTATTGCAGACTAATTATTTTTTCCCTAAAATGCAACAAAAAACAGGGAAAAAAACGAATGGCAAGTAATCAAATGTCCGTTGAAGCACATGTTATCTCAAAATCCATTCGCTGCTACATCGATACTAACCAAATCGTCCGAATTCCAAATCGATTCAGCACTATGTTTGATTTCAGTGTGCTGAAAAATCCATATCACAATCCACTCGCCATGTATACATTTTTCAAATTGATGCGATTGGCATTGGATTGAGAGAGTGTGTTGCTCCGAAAACATATCAATGAAAATTTTGAAGTGCTGCTTAGTATGAATGTTTAACATGGATATGCAAATACCTGGTAACACTGTTTTTCGTATCGTTGCCAATTTAATTACGTTTGTAAAGCGATGTAAAACAGAGCGAGAGCGAATGTTGCAAAACACATGTGTGTGCACAAAAACGATGTAAATGATTTTCTTTTTTGCGCATTCAAACTTTCAATTTCCCTGTGCATGTTCAATGAATTAATGGCCGATATGCCGAACCATTTGAATTGGCTACATGCAGAGTAGATGGCAGCGACTGAACTTCATCAGGTGTAGAATTTGAGCAGTAGAGATACACGAGAGCGAGAAAAAAAACAAGTTGACCATGCACAACGCAAATGCTATAGCCGATGAATGTGGAAACAAAACACGGCAGAAAATATGAGTGTGTTGGTGGAATGAAATTGCCGGTCGATTGCTTTGCTGACATATTAACAGTTGGGCGAACACGAGAATATCATCAGCGTGGCCAAGATGAAATCGACCGAAATTCAAGCACATTCAGGAAGATGGCGAGCACACCCAAATGTGATAACAAGAATCTCTGGAAAATAACTTTTGCACGGTCATAAAACGTATACATACCGTTGAATTCATTTGCAAATTAGACGTCACATTAATCGGCAAACGGTATTCACCAACGGTGGTTCGGTTACCTACTGTACTCGATATACTTTTCGGTTATTTGCCCGTGTGCCACAAGTAGGAATAAGAGCCGTTTGACTTTTCCAGCAAGTGGAATTATTTCATGAAATAAGAAAACACCAGAAATAGCACAAATATGCAACATTGCTGAACAAATAAAGAAGAAAAGCAGGAAATGCTGTATGAAAGAAATAGTAATAAGCAAAAGAGGAGTTATTCACCGAAACGGTATAGAGTGAAATATCTAATGTAATGTACACGACGAATATTGGCGTGCTTGGGAAAAAGTCGACAGGAAAAATGGGACAGAATTGAATATTTGCAACAACACAACGAAATGAAGCAGTCAAGCGCATTGTATATACACAGTGCCAAACGGCAATAACAGTAGTCGACGAGTGGCACGAGTTGAATGAAGCAGAAAGAGCAAAAAAAATGGAACAAATCTACACATACTTGGTGATACAGCGCGCATATTTACTTAAATAAATTCACTGACAATGTCCGGAATTACATTTGCAATTCGTTCGCTGTAGCAATTATTGCCGAGCCAAAGGAATGAAGCGGACCGCTGAAACAAAAAGTTCGAGCACTTTTCGCACACACATGCAATGGATTACGAATAATGAAGCACCAAATACTATCCAAATGTTGCCCATTTTGGTGTGCTTTAGCGATAGCTAGTTTTGCCGTTGGTCCTCAGCCATTCAGCCGAGACACACCATCGAGAAGGACTATACCGAGTATATTGAACATGGAAAATCCAATGGAATGTGCAATGGCAATAATGTCACGCATTTATAAATGCGATCCGTGTACAGAAATCGCATGGACAAAAACTGCGTATATTCGAAAAACCATGCTCCAATTTCATTTCCTTAATTTATGATTCAAACGCTTCACATAGCATACAAACACACTTTTACCGTGGCCACTGAACCGTCTCGCTATCGATTTCTCGGAATTATGTACATGCATATATGAAGAAAAGAATACCTTAAAGAACATCATCACACTGAGAATAGACATGAATGGCGTTTTTTTCGTAGAATATATTCATTTCAATTAAATTCATTCATTCTTTACAACAAACAACAACAATAAACATTTAAAGACCATTAATACCTTTCAGTGTTTGGCCGTTTTTCGAATCAGCGTATCAACCTCTAACAATTCTCCATCAAACTGTTCTATCTAAAGCCAATCTATTTGTTTCTACTCCCCTTTCATTCAAATCAAATTTTACTGAATCTATAACACGTCTACGGAGTCTATCCGTCTTTTCAACAAAACTTTGAAATATTCAACAAACGATTGAATCGCACCAATTTCTTCTTTTTTATTCTTTTTTTTTAAATGAATTAAAAATATCGAATTAGTAAAAATAATAAGGTGCGATTCAATTATTTGTTGATTTATCGGTTTTCACGTTGCTCAAGAATATATTTCTTTGAAATATTACAAATTAAATGTTAATTCAACACAATGAAAACGTGTTTTAAGCTAGGTTTTCAAGTTGAAATTTCGATTCTCAATTGAATATCGATTCCAATCGATTCGAGAGGCAATTTGCATTGCAAATATCGCATATATCTATCATTCAATTTTGAGTCAATTGGCGATTTGATTGTTGTTCAGTTCTAACGGTGTACTGTTTTTCGCATCGAACCGGCGGCTAGTTGCTGGACTGTCGCTCGATGATGACCAATTCTTCATTGTGCTATTGAAGATCACTTGTCCAGTTTGCTTCGCTCTCTTGGCCGATTGTTCGTCAAGTGAATCCTGAGCCCTTTTTCCAAAACTATTCAGCGATGTCCTTAGAATTCGGCTCCAAATGCGACTCTTATTTGGCAGTGGATTCACTATGTTTTCGATGATTTTCATGAAATCCTTTGAAAAAACCAGAACGGGATGAATGAGTGCTTTGGAATTCGACTAAATTGAGCCATTGTTTATGAAAAGTACCTTTTTGAACTTCTTATTCGGAAGCTCATTGAGTACACCGAATGCACAATCGATGAACATATCTTCGCGCTGTATACCAATGCAGAAATGCAACAAGTTCGAGGCATGATCGGAGTCGGGAAATCTCTGGAGAACGAATGTGTTAATAGAATTCAAATCTCTCCGTTTCAATGCATTTTTTTCTGCTTACCTTGCTGAGACCAACCACTATATCACAGATGTTGATGGCCACATTTGCCGATAACAGCTGCTTGATTTGATCCAACATGAATACGATATATTGCAATTGAATGTGATTTACGCCATGCGCCGTATCGATCGTGACCAAACTGATTTTCTTGAGCAAATATTTCGCCAAAATTTGGATGTTGACCTTTTGTTGTGAAATGCTTTTGAATTTCATCTCCATCTTACTGAGACACCAAAAGACCTGTTTGATGAAATGAGACTATAAGATTTTTGACTGAAATGCTAATTCGTTAAACAAATTTACCGAAACACATAGAAAATCGATGTCATCTTCCGTTTTTTGCAATATTTCGAGAAAACGTTTTGAGATCAGAGTGCGAGAAACGCCTTGAATTGACTCTCGTACTCCAACTGCACCTTCGTGAACTTTGATCAAACTTTGGGTCAAAATTATGAGGTTGTAAGCTAGAATAAATGTAATCTCGATGTAATAAACCAGAAATCAGATATTTTTCACAACCAGTCATACCCAAAAATGTTCGATTTTTCGTCAAATCCAACGGATCTGCCATGACTATTCCATTCGTTTCGTTGCACAGCAATGTCGTGTTGCTTGGAATCATTTTGCACCAAGCGAAGACACCAAGCTTCATGAATGTTTCCATCACATTGGCGTTGGTATCAAAATCGATGTTGGCCTGATGTTGAAATGCATTGAATTCATTCAAGCATTGCTCGAATCGTGGCTGCCAAATCCGAATCGGAAGCACGACCTTGACCATGTAAATTGCATTCAGTTGTTGAGTAAATGAGTCACGAAAGTAACCTGTGGCAATTTCTGATAAGAAACCCGTTAGAACATCACGATGTCTCTGTACAAAAAGAAAATAAACCAATTTTTCATGCATCGTATTGAGATTGAAGCAAGAAAATGCACTGCAAACCTACATCATCAATGAGCTCCAACCATCTGTCTGCGTGTAGCAGTGAAAAAACGATGTTGCTGTAAACGGTCACATGTTGTCGATCGAGCTGCTGCGCAAACCGAATGGCTTTGTGTGAAAATGACCGTAGGGAATCGTCGACATCAACCTGATTCTTCTTGATATGGTCGATTACACGTTTCAACAGAGCAAAGATTTCGTCAATGAAGTCAACGTCATGCAAACGCAATTCGACCGCTTCAAAGACCGCGTCCCAGTTGGTGAATTCCGCGAAGAACGTTTTTGTCACACGCATCGGACAAGTCGTGTAATTTTTCTGACGTTGAAAAACGATTAAAAGTCAAATGAAATGTATCCCAATCGGAATTGATGAATTCTCGAATTCATACAATCGAAAACCTACCCGAAACTGTTGATGGTACATCGTTGCGCGAATCACCACATCGGCTGGATCAGCTACACCTGTATCACCACCACGTAGCATAGCTCGGCATAGATCAGCCACTTTCCGTTGCAGATCCTCGTTATCGCTTAGAACACAATCCTGATATACCGATTCAGGGAACACAGTTCGATCTCGAACAGCTCTGAATGACAATGGCGATTTTTTTTTTCAGGTAAATATGTCGGTTTTGTGAAAATGCATGGAAGTCTTCCGACAATAATGAAAGCAACCGTGAAGATTTCATGAAATCCGCATGCAATTTTATCAAAATTTACTTACATTTCAATGTGATAGGCCAAATCGAGGGCCGCTGATCGAAGTTTGATGCCGTTAACCCTTGTGATAATTGTGGTTATTTCTCGTAAAATTGCTGCTCTTGAACAGAAACGCAGTATGCGTCTGCCATGTACCCGAATTCCGCCACATCGGATGATGTGCATCATGGCTTTGATTTTGATGTCAACATCGGTATTCGACAAGAATTTCACAATGAACCGTTCGCAGCCTATGGCATCGCTTCGAACTATCTCCGAACTATCTCTGGAAATCTTGTCGAAGAATGTGTCGCATATGATTGATACGATGTAATCTGTTGGCTCATTTTCGGCAATGAACAAAGACAGATATTCGCTTGTTTGTCGCATTTGATCTCTGAAATCTTCATTCAGATGTGTACTATTTTGCTTGGCAACTGCCTCGATGTAGAGAAACACTGTCGTTTTTGCAACCAAGTATGATGCTTTCGGGCTTTTCAGCAACGCACAAATGAACCGTTGAACGTGTGTGATCCATTGAAATTCCTCTGAATTTCCAAGCAATTTCACAATCAATTCAGCAAATAGTTGATCGTCGGCTATCTGTTCTGCCCGATTGAATTGATTCGCCTGTCGATCGAAGCATTTCGCGAATGTTATCCCAAAATTGTGGTTATGTTTGTCAAATGAAACTCACCTGCGATGTTGTTAGGCCCGATATGAAATTGTCCATGTTCAATGTGCGCAGATCGATGCTCTCGGAGATCAAGAAATTATTTTCGTTCGCATTGTTATTGACCAACGAAAGCCGCAATCGATCCAACATCAACTGTATGACACCAATTGCAGCAATGTTTTCTCCACGCTCCTCATACGCTTCTGACCAAATGTCGACAATTTCCTACGGATTAATCGCATATTTGAAGTTAAAAATTTCATGATGTGATCGCACATTTTATTTTATTTATTCAAATCACATCATTTTTACTTACGTTCAAGCTTCTGCGTGAAAAATCCGATGATGGCAAGATTCTGTTTGACATTTTGCTGATTTTCCTTCGAAAGACCACACATCAATTTAGAATATTCGGTTTTTTGACGACAAATCAAAATAGAAAAACTGTCTGATTCGCGCGTCTCTTTCTATTATTGCATCGTACACTCTGTATGTAATCCAGTTGCTAAACAAATTGCAACACCAAATCATTTACCGTTCATACCACGGTTCATTTTGCACGTTTGACTTCCACAGAGATTATATTCTCATTTGCTAAAATGTCACTTAGTCGTACGTTTCATTATCAATCATTTTACAAAACTCACTTGATGTCGAAAATCCAACAATGCTCACGCATACAATTGCGCCCAAACAGAAATACCGTAATACACTCATTGTGTTTGGATCGCACGACAGAAGATTTTTTTTCCGCTGGTCGCACGCGTCTGTGTAGTCGAATGAAATTCAATATGGCCAATGAGACCGTCGCTGATTTTGTGCAAAAGATTGAAAGAGTAAGCAAATACGGTCGGTCGGTCGGTCGAACTCAATTCAAACGGCTGTAATCGAAAAATGCCACTGTAAATATACTTTGTGAACCAAGCCCAGCGGCTTTGTGTCAAACCTTTTCTCTGTGTTGCTCTCGAGCCGAAATGAACTGATAGAGAGAAGAAAAAAACTGGCCAAGATGTTTGCAATAAATGAAAGCCACAATCAAATAATTGAATGTAATGGAAAATGGAATTGCAGTGACGAAATCAATGTATTAGGCAAATAGATTCCGGGCTTTGGGCATAAAGTGTGTCCGTTGAATGGAAATTCGGCGAGAGCATTCCAGTGGATGTTATACTCAAAGCAATTTTCTCTTCTTTTCAAATTGATTGAGTCGCGTTTGAAGTGCTTGACCAAACGGATTTAGAAAGAAAGGAAAAGATGTTCAAAGAGAATAATTACATTGATACACATTGCTCGCCAAAAACAAAGCAAAAAACCGAAAGTCTTTGAGGAAATTACGGGCGACCAGTCGAATAGCTGGCACATTGTGTAGGTTTTTTTTTGATAAAAACCACGTCAAGCATCGATCGAATTGTGGTTGAATCTTTGTGGTTGATCCGGTTTGATTTTCAGCGCACCAATCGAGTGAACAGAGATTTACTGAATGAGTTGCAGCGAATGCGATGAAAATCATTTTTGCCATTGGAGCAAAATAGTTCTTTGGCTGTGTAAAAAAGTTGGATGGAAAAGTAAAGATTTCTATCTGTTGCCATTCAAGCGCATTCCTTCTGCCTTCGCTCAATAGTATTGAGTCAATACATTCATTTCACTTTGTAATTAGTTTGTTTGTGGTGGAAGAAAACAAACGGCAGTAAGCGCGTCGATCTAAGTTGAAAATCGGCTGACTGAAAGAAAAACTTACCTTTTTATCGGTGTTTGGAATGTAATGTCTCTCATTCATGTTCACGGTGGATTTTCTTCTGCTATCAGTTCCGGTGAACTATGGCATTACAAGCAAAAGAGATATTTTGAGTGTGGTTTTTCATCCTTGCAGCAGCTCTCTATCTATCTATCTCTTTTTTTGACGAAAATTAATACACTCAAAGGTGATCAATACCAAAGTTTTGTTTGCAAATTAAACAAAAGGAATTAAAAAAATGCCATGACTTAAGTTTGCCCGAAGAAATCAGGCACACGCTGGGTACAAGCGCGGAACTAAGCGAACGCGCGCAAACCAATTGAAGCGATTTAATTAGTTTTTCGCATTAAAGTTATTTTATTTCTTTTCTCGCCCATAAATGAATCCTGTATGAACAGCGCAACGTCTGTATTTCTCCACAATGTACGACGTACAAAAGAAAGAGCGCGAGATAATGCCAAGCAAAACCATTGTGGTTTCATCAAATTTTATGGTTTTATTTTTAAACTTTGTATAGAAAGTGTAGTTGCGAGTGGAGTGCAAACAAAGTCATCAACAAGTTTAGTTCCAAAAACCGTTTATCTAGTGAACACGAATTAGAAAAAACAACAGCGGTGACGACGGTGACGACGACGACGAAGACGACGAACAACACATTGCTCGAAATGTAATAAACGAGCAAAGGCAAGTCAAAATTTCTGACACGGTTACACAGCATTTATTTATCATGCAACGACCAACTTTTGGCACCGACAAACACTGGAACACACTTAAAACAATAATGGACTTGAGTACGTTTCGAAGCGTTTGTTTACATCGCGTGATTGAGTAAATAAAATATCCAAACTGAACAACCAAAATCGGTATATTTTTTCTTAGTATATTTTTAGCCGCACCGTGTAGCCAACGAAAATCCTTCAAACTTTAACCATGTTGTGTTAGTTTCAAAGCCAATTTGCTAGTCGTCATTTTGTTTATCTTCTGCTGAACTTGTAACCGAATGCAATTGACTCCTGCGCTCTCTTCGGTCTCCGTTTCTCTATCTCTTTCTTTCGCTCTCTCGTTCGCTTTCTCTTTCCCTCTCCCCTCTTTTCCATATTCTCTTGCTATAGCTCTCACTCTCTCGCTCTGTGTTCATCCTCAGATTTAATTATAATTTTCAGCTTAAGCATTTTTGTTTGCATTGAAACTTTACTCCGGCCACAACTTGCATCAAGTTATTTCGTAGCGATAAAACCAACAACAGCAACAGAAAAAAAATGTCGACGTGAAGATAAAACGATTTCAAGCTGTTATCAAATTCAGATTGTTGCAATTTGAGATGGAGATAGCCACCAACCGAATACGGTATGCATGTTTATTGAAAAATCGACCATTTTCTCCTTCGTTTCATACTGATACCGTATGCGGCGTCAGTTTGAAACACTTGAAAATTGTTCTGCAGTAAAAAAAAAACAGCTACATTACCTGGGCCAAACACCTGAAAAAAGGCAAAAAAAAACCGTTTGGGAATAGTTTCGACATAGTTCTTTTCATTGTCGACAAAGTTTTACCTCTTACGAAAGCGGAATGCCGAACACATGTTCTGGAGGGCGAATATATCGAAATATTCAATTTGAACTACATTTCACAAAGTTTTCCATATTTTCGGGCGATGTTAGCGCATTAGCATTTTTGTTGTTGTTGAACTCTATCGAACCAGAGAATTTTCGAAGGAAAAAAAACACACACGATAAACGCAGAAATGTTGTGCAAAATTAATTTTCGAGTAAAAATGCATACAAACATTGTGCCGACATGCGTTTCAAAATTTTAGGGTAAGCCTATTTGCCTGGCACATATTAAACTTTTTATCAAGCCAAAAACTTTACCACTTAATCATTTACATGCAGCGTTCACATATTTTCATCGACATTAGTCAATGTTCAATGAATTCGAAATGGCGGAAAGTAAATTTGGCTACAGGCAGAGTGAATCCTTGAGCCCATTAAATTGACTGCGCTCTCAAATTTACCGAATTTTTCCCGATGACACCAGAATTACACATTACATTCGCAAAATGCATGTAAAATTCGGAATGAAACACGCTGCAGTCGATTTACATACTTCCAGCTGAACGCTGAAAATTATTCAATTGGAAGAAGACAAATGTTGAACGTATGGGTGTGTGTGTGTGTGTGTGTGTGTGTTTGTGTTTGTATGTCGTTGTGAAAAGGAAGTTTCTGGATTGCAATCGAATCGTAAGCACCGAACGTACTACATATTGTCTGCATTCGTAACGGTCTATTTGTGACGAAGAATTATGTTAGAAATCGCATCTTCATGTTCCTTATGCGACAATAACATATACACCAAGATGCCACCATATAGAGCAAATCTCTTAAGCACATTACGGTACACTTATGTCGCATGCGTCTTTTTGTTCTCGTGCAACATACATTTGATGGCTTTGGATAAACTCCAGAGGTAAACTTTTAGCACTTACGATTCGGGAAACAAATGGAAAAGAACACACCAGCACCAATAATAAAATTATGTATCGATTGTGTCGAAACTTTTGTTACGTAAATGTCCCGTGCTGCTTGTATGAATGTACTACGTGACTACGAGTCATGTTGCAATGATACATTCACACACGCTCACCCGATTTTACACCGTTCATTGTGGGATGAAATCTGTTTTTTGTCGAAAATAAAGCAAAATTATAATCGATAAGCGGGACAGAGGGTGGTAGAGCATAAAGCTGAAGCAATTTACTATTTGCTTTGAGTAATTATTTTGCATTCATTGCCTCGCAATTTGCATAGAGCGAGTAGAACGAGGCAATTTTTATGCGTTCAAATGCAAAACGCGAAAATATTGACAACGTTTCCATTTAATATGTGGATTATATTATATCCGCTGGATATTTTATGACTGTGTGCATCGTATGCATGTTCATTTCATCCGCGTTCAATGTTCATACATATCGGCGTATTTGATATATGCGTATAATGAATATTTGTGGCGACGCTTTTCAGTTTGAATATTTTACGCTAATTACAACTTGGCTTGATAATCTGGTTGGATTGTTGTCGAACAGAATGCAAAAAAAAAATCGTATCAGTCTATTTTTAAATGAATTAGATTTCTATTTAATTTTCATTTTGTGAAATGAGGTTGGGTATAGCTTGATTCTAATCAATAATCAATCACACTACCCTATCACTCTTCTGTAGTAAACAATCTTTTTTTTTCGTTAGTCTCTATAGATTAGCTTTAGCTGGGGAACAATTGTCTGTTCACTACACTAGAATCCAACTTTTTTACTGTGTGTGCAACCAATGTATAGCTAGTAATGCGTTAGTTCCTGGAGAAAAAATGTGGCGCATGTGCAATTCATTTGTTTTGAAATAAATCAACAGGTATTTTTACTCCTTAAAATATTGGTTGCGCAATTGAAGTACAGATGTCGGTTTTAACCTATTTTGCTTAAAATTCGATTTGTTTGCATTCGAACAAGATTGTTGGCTTAAAATTTTAATCTCTAATTCCTATTTTGTTTATCATTAATTAAGAGTGCTTCTAATTTCTACCGTAGAGTAAATATTTAGCTGAACGCATCGGGTGGGATCTGTTGATCACGTAATAGTTCAGTGAACGATTCGAGACTCTCACGGAAATTCCAATTGGCAGCTGTGAGGATCTTTTTGCACCACATGGAATTAAGCCCAGTCAACTCGTGGAAGATGGTTTCAAGGCCGAGTTTTTCATCCTCCGTCACATCGCTTGGATCATCTGGAACAGCAGCGTTCGATCGAGCATTCTTGAATGAGTTGTTCAGTTGTGCAATCGATGGCCGATAGTATAGAACAATGTCGTTGAGAATTTGATACTCTTCACTTGCATGAAACATTCCTAATCCTTCTGCTTGTTTGCTAATGATGAAAGTGCGCGCAAAGCCCAGAATCACCTCTTCATCATTCAATGTGTTGCCAAACTCTTTGAATAGGCCATTCACCGTGACAATGGCTTTCGTTGGCTGCGGAAGTACATTGATCAGTCCGATTAGCTTTATCAGAATGTTTGAGATAACGACATCTCCAAAATTCATTCTCTTTACTTACCGTATAGCCCATTAAATCGATGGTGAATGATGGAAAATCATGTTCCGTTTGACCAAAAATGCCAAACAATGACGCAATCTTTTCCGGCCCTTGAAAAAGGTTTTGTCCTGGGTTGCATGCAACAACACGCTTGAAGTTTCTACATTTATCAATGATTGGTGTCATTCGCTTGGCCAAACTGTCGGGCATACCCAATGAATTGATGCTCATTGTTAGAATCGAATTGTTGTGGTATATTCCTGTGAATTAACAAACATTCTCAGTCTTAATTGTCAAACGATAAGATAATGATTATCAAATGACATGATCAAAACATTCTTTTTACCTCGTAGAAGTCGAACTCGATTTGGTGCATCGAAACACGTGAAATAGTGTTGAACAAACTGTTCAGCAAGATCGTAGCCTTCCAAATTGCATATGAAATTTTGCCGGATTGTCATGATTGTTGATTTTGAAATGTCGTGACCGTCCTATGATGGAAAATGGTATCAAAAAAGTAAACAATCAGGGAAAATATAATTTTGAATTTCACTCAGAAATGCACGTGACATTACACCGTTGTTATGCTAAATCAATTAGTAGAAGTCATTTCATTGAAATAACAACAAAAAAGCGGGCATGTATTTTGAATAGGGCCACTCACCAGTTTCTCCAAATTCGGTAGGATTTCTTTGATAGCTGCAATGTAACTGTTCGCATTGGGGAAATTCAAACAGAATGGATTTCCTTCGAGCCAAAGAGCGGTGATCGTCCCCTTTGGAATTGATTCAATTTGTTTGACATCTTCAATTTTATTGTTGCTCAAATCCACCTCCTTCAAACTTTTCATCCAAATGGTGGAGTGCATGCCACGTGTCGACTTCAAACCATTGTACGCCAAATTCAGTTTTTCAACGTTACCCGCGTATCTACGGCCAGCGTATGTGAGAATGGTGCTGAGTGTGCGTGGCACCGAAATACGACAGATAACATCGGTGAATAGATCATTTTCTTCGAAACGATCGAGATTCAAACATTGATTCATGATATCATAGCCAGAGTTGATAATGGTATGGATTTTCTTAGTCGGATCCAAATGATTATCTTTGATATCGCTCACTTTCATTCGCAGAGTTATCGTTAAATTATCGCCGGCTGCCGTTTTCAATCGTAACTTTTTATCGAACAGCATTTCGAGGGCATCAAAGCATTCACGCACATAAAATGTGTCAAACGTGGTGTTCGTTTTGTAATAGCATGGGTACATTTCATTTGGAGCAATTCCTTCGAATAGCGCGTCGAGGATATCGGCCTGTGAAACTTTCCCATTGTGATGGATGACGACTTGATGCCAACTTTGAACGACTGGTGACTTGTACGGATCCAATTTGCGAACGTCAAACAACAAATCTTGTGCGCTAAACACATCCTTCGGGGTTGTCACTTCGATTGGTGCGCTGATAAGCTGATCATGAAGCGACGCAAAGATACTTGTCGACTTGGCTGTACTTTGGTTGGTATTACGAATAACCTGGCCATCCTGGAAATTGAAATCGATAAATTGCATGGTTTAAATCATGGATTTTTCGCTTACTCACAAGCTTCTCTAAGTCAGGCAACATTTCCGTCATATCTCTTTTGAAACCGATATTTCCAGCTACCGAATTACCATCCAAACACAAGTGACGAATTTTCAAACGCTTCAATTGAACCAATTCATGCACCGTTCGAATCTGGAAAACAAATGAATAAACCATTAAAAAAAATGATTGATGTTGAAGTTGTAGTCGTGTCTTACGTTATTATCCCGCAAATCCAGCAAATTCAACGAGACTTTTGGCATTTTTGACGCTGGCTCTAGGGTGCGAATGTTGTTGTTTGTCAGACGGATGCCTTGGATTTGATCAAAGATCTTGCTGTTTGTATGAGCATTGTCCAATGTGGTGAACAACAGCTGTAACGACATTTTGTTGGTCAAATTGACGCAGATATGCTTGAATTCTGGCCGCGATGCGAAGCGATCCAAGTCAAGAACATTTGGAACACCTTCGCAAACAATCATTCGTTGCATACACTCGCTGATTGCCTTTGTGTACTTCTTCGATGGATAGATTTGACCGAGTTTGAATTGAGCAACTTGAAACTTAATTGTGAGATAAACAAGCTGTGTTCCAAACGATAGACGCAGATTATTTTGAAAGAGTTTTTCAATCGCCGTTCTACAGAGACGAATCAAAAAGTAATCCGATAACTTTGCCTCCTGAAAATGACATACACACCATATTTGTTATTGAATTTGTTACGAGACATTGTAAATTTTGTAAGTATGAAATATGCTTAATTTACCGTATAAGCAACGGGAAAGAATTCAGAGTCAGAAACCGCGTCAAAAAGTTTATCAAGAAGCTGCGCCTTTGAGTACCTACGCTCATGATGGATCTAGATATAAAAAAAAGCAATTGGTAGTTCTTGCTACTCATTGAACGGCGATATTTCGATTTTACTTACCACAATCATATGCCTGGAAAGAAAATTTGAAACGAAAATAAGTTAAAGATTCCGAAGAGCATGTGAAATGACAATGTTTTAGTTGTAAACCAATTAGTTGGGCTCATTTGATTCGAAACGGCCAAAAGAGGTTATGTACTTTGAATAAGGTCACTTACCAAAAGTCCCCGCTTTGTACGAATGTTGTATCGAAATTCGAGCAATTGTGATATTCCTTCGGGTTGTTGTTTGTTATGACAATGTCGAGATCAGTCGTCGACATTTTGAACCGTTTTACTTCATCTGCAGATAATTTTTTAAGAATTATTTTCACATTCAAAGCATGAAGTAATGCTTCACTTACGATGTGGTGGTGCATAATAGCCGGCGTCAATGGAGAAATCATCGGATTGATTCATCGTAGAAGCCGACTGACTTTGCGGCGGATTTTGAGGTTGTGTTTGCGGTTGTTGTCGTTGTTGTTGTTTTGGCTGATTTCGAGTATCAATTGGAACCAAGTTCTGCGTTAGAAGTTTGGCTTTTGGCGTAGCTTTAGGATTAACTGGAATTTTTATTTGAGTTTGCGTATGAACAAGGTGCGGCACCTTTGCCTCTCGCGCTATAACGAACGGAATGTTCCAGTAATCCTGGATCGGAAATGCGTCCTGTGCGAATAAATTCTCGTATGCCTTCACTACATATTTCTTAAATGTTGTCCGACCTATTGTTTCAAACTGTAATGGTACCGCATGCGGTGGAATGGGTAGAACAACATATGCCGATATATTATTGCGATTGGCTTCAATTTCATCTGGTGAGAGTCTGACGGGAAAATTTGACCGATTCATGGAAACGACTTAATTCTAGCAACGATAAAAAAAAACTAAAAACAATATAATAAATGAGGCTTTCCAGGCGGAGCGAACATTTCAAACTGATCGACACAACACTTTTTTTTCTCTTCAAACTACGTTCTTCAAAATTGTCAAGACTTTTTTTCGCCGATAAAATTGTGCGGCGTCCGCAGAAATCTGTTTATTTATATGCAGCAAGCGGCAAGTGTCAAATTATAATTGACAGTTTTGTTGTCGGTGCGATCCCTATCGGAAACTTTGCCGCACGTCAGTTGTGCTATTCGCATTTTTTGAGTTTAAATTCGGTGAAAATTGGTAATTTTTGGAATTTTTATAAACTTTTTGAATGAGAAGAGTAAATGACGTTTACATTGGAATGAAAATCAATTGTTCTGCACGTTGATTCGTTTATTTTTATTGGGAAAATGAATTAGTCGAACCGATTGTTATGTATCTGAATTGTGAATAATGTTGACACCAGCAGAAATTTTTCTTCTCTTCTGATTTCTAAGTTATGCACGGTCGACCGGCACAAATGCACATTATTGAATTGAGTCGATTTCTATTCCTTGCTCGCAGTTCCAGCCATCGAATTTGATTTGGTACAAACATTTCTGGTGGCAGTAGTGTTTCACCCTCCGGCTCTGAATAAGATAAAAGATTCATTTCAAATCCTGATCAGCACAACACATTTTAACGAGAGCAAAAACAATTACCGCTTGGTTTTTGTGGCTGTACTCTTGGTGTGTAGGGCAATTGCTCAGTCATCGGTATGATTTCAAATGGTTTACGCAGCAAAATTTTGCCAACTCCCTCACACGTTCGAAGCACCTCATGTTTAGCCAAAATATCGACATGTTCTGGTTGAATATCTTTGCATGCTATTATCCATTCGGAAACACCTTCGAAATCACGCAACAGATTCAAAGCACCTTCTCGACTAAAAAAAGGCAATAAGAATTCCGTCCGAATAAAGTTACACAAAAAGTGTTGATGGACTCATACCTGAATTTAATTTTTTGCGTGTAAATATGATCAAGCCATGCTTCGCACATGATTCGTAGGATTAAATTGAGTATCTCTAGGACATCTGTTGCCTTTACCACCGGCAAATACACATCGGCTGAAATTGATATTTTTGGATCCACATTGAATGATTGAAAAAAGTGTGGATTCAATGATAGCTCATAGAAACCTATGACCAACTCACTTAAAAATTTATTAACATAATCATTAGCGCCCTCTTGAAGGAGGTTACTTTGCCAGAATTGTGATTTCGGAAAGCACAAGCTAAGAGTGGCCAAACTGAGCATCTTACAAACTGCCGCCAAAACTTCTATGCACTCGCTGGAAGTGAGCTGTACGATGAAATAAACGACATTAAAATACATTCACCTTTTGAATGATGAACAAATGTGGATTACCTTCAGTTTGCAAATGTTCACTTTGACTTCAGAGATCAGTTTTGCACGAAGAGCAACATTCACTTGAATTTCCACCTCGAATAAATCCGGTGCAACGAGATCAGGTGTTCTGAGTAATTTGATTTGCTCCAAACACTGGTTGATATCATTGTGCACCACTTTGAAAAACATATCCATACACCAATCGATGCAAAGTGTCTTCGATTTCGCAGCAGCCCACAGGCGCATTGTGTGAATGGAATGATCTTTGAAAGGAGAATGATGTACATTTTAACTTATGTGGAGAAAAAAATTGCATTTTATCCTGAAAATTTCTTTCATTGGCCATACCAAGGCGATGCAATACCGCAATTTGCTCTACGATTGGCAGTTCATTCGGAATCGTGCTATGCTGGTCGCAATTGTTACAAAATGTGGTGAGTGTGTACAGTAGTTCGCTCCATAATCGACCTGTGGTCGTGGTTCCCTCTAACTATAAAAAATGACATGATTTGTTCATCTTTTTACATAACGAATCTGCGTCATATGTATTTCGCACTGTCAAATTCGATTTACCCGTGTTTTCTTGGTGTAGAATTCCTCACTCTTAAAATTATAATCTGGAGCAAGACTGGATGCAACAAGTGCAAGTCTAAATTGTTTATCCCATAAACAGCATGCCACATGAACCGTCAACGTTTCACCCAAACATCGTAGTACTGATACAAGAGTTTCTGGTGCTTCTGGAATTTTTATATTAAATTAATATTTTAGAGAACTATTTAGAACAACATAAAACAAACGAACAGTTGGCATGGAATGAACAAGAGCAGCTAGAGAAAAAAATATTTCTTCTACCAAATAATGTTGATAAAAATTGACCAAAGGAATTGGATCCTACCGTCATATTGCAAATTCAGCAACCAATCGCGTAAATGTCGAGCTACAGCAACTGGTTGGCAAGCCTGTTGGAATATAATTTGAAGAAATATAAACTTCATTATATCTCTACATTGGTTATGGGCCATTATTACTAAAGAGAATAAAAAGCTTGTTGAATCCTAAAATCAAAATAAATAAAAAAGAAAATAATTTGAAACCAAAAATTTTTAAGAGAAAAGAAAGAAAATAACCAAAAAAAAATGAATAACAAAAATAATATTGAGGCTTGCCAGAGGAGTGTTGCACCACCATAAAACCACATGCTCCAATGTTGCACCAGTTTGCGTCCAAAGACTTTGCGTCGCCTTATTCACCTTTTTCACAATTTGCTCTTGGGATGGTTGAGTTTCTTCGAAGAAAAATCAAGTTTTCCATTAAAAACACTCGAGAAGGCATGATTCTCTTCTTCAAAAAATTGAAAAAAATTTGCATTTTGTAAAGAAATTAAAGAAAGAATCGAAAAAGAGGGAGATTATTCACCAAAAATAGACGGACATAATTGCAAGCTTTTCAACAAAATGAATGCAAAGTAATTTTCTTCGGTCGACACCATTTTCTCCAGATGATCAATATTGCCGTCATTTTTCAGATTATCTTCCGCCGACTGTTGGATCGATGCCATTTTATCGAAAAATGCCATTGACGGATCTTGTGCAGCCGACAGTTGAGTGTCGTCATTCAATGGCGATGCGCCAGATGACATATGCGATGTGAGTGCTTTCAACACTTCAATGCTCGAAGTGTCGGAATCTGATTCGCTGCCGCCATCAATTTGGCAAGTAACCAGAAGACTCGTGATTAATTGCAAACAGCATTGCTCACTGCGACGCGTGGTTACTGCCTGAAAGTGTGGAAGTAGTACAATTTTGGTAATGTAACAGTGAGAAACGAATACTCCTGTTAATAACGCACCTGCAGAATATCTTTGACATCAATGCGAGATGGTGGCAGAAAAATGGTAGTATAGGAAATGCTACAGATTTGTGCGGCGCCACCGAAATTAAATTTCTCCATAAATTCGATGCACTTATTGTGCGCAGCGGCCATGACCAATGCATCATCAACAAAGCCATCTGCATTCAATGCAACTTGAAGTAATGCATTCACCTAAAATTACATGGAAATTAAATCTTGAATATGTACGCCATTATCTGTATCCATCATGCTCACCTGCTTGCGCATAATAAACACCAATTGGCATTGTTTTTGTTGTAAATTGCCCAGAATAATCATCGCCTTCTGCGCCACCAATTGATTGTATGGATTGCGATCGATTCGCTTATCTCCAGGCTGTTTAACATATGCTTTCGTGACTTTCGTTTGTAACTCATCACTTTTCTGGAATGCACTGAGCGCTAATTTTGTGAGATGTTTCACCACCTGGATAAACGAAACATTCTAATGAAATTAAATGAAACGAAAACAAAAATCGAAAGCCCAAATATCCTTGTCCTTGATTGTTTTTCGCACGTTGCTACGGCAATGTGAAAGTTTGTTTACATGTCTATTGAATACATGCAAAGTCTTCGAAAAAAAATTCCAGCGGATCGAAATTCGAACCCGTACGGCTCAAGGATGAAAAATGTGTAACATGTGAATGTCACAAATCAATCGGCCCCGCTCACAGACATACCAATGATCAATTTCCGACCAAGACCTAAACACAAAAACAAATCGATTTTATTTGTACAATTCTTACGTTAACATCCGGTTCATCGAATGTGATTTCGTTCAAATATCGATTCGTCAGCCACTTGAATGTGACGGCAGCTCGGTCGAGATCCGTGAACAGATGATACGATCCTTGTAAATCTTTTGGAAGCCATTTAGGATAACTCATTTTCACTACAAAATTTCGTTGCTGGCAATGGCAAACCGAAGGGGAAAATCCAAAATTCCAATGAGTCTCAGCTGACTCTTGAGTCCGTAGAACACGCTACGGTATCTGATGAAAGACTAAAACGGCAATCAATCTGGAAATCGTGAATGTAACTCGATTTAAAGTCAATAGTTTTTTTCGTTTCTAATGGCAACTAGGGGCCGATTGTGGTTGTACATGCGGTAACTCAGCCACCAGAGCAATATTGCAAGGGAAAAAGGAAATGCGTTCAGTGTTTTTTTTTTGAAGTTCATTCACAAAAATACGGAATTCGGTATGTATGCCTCTGCAATAACCTTGATCCAATTTTATGTGTGAAAGTTACTCTGGTACATTGACATCGAATTTCGTTGATTCCATTGAAATAACATAACAACGATAGCCTGTTACAAAATCAAACAAAAATTTATCTGCAAATACGAAAGCGCATTGATAACAAATTCGACATTATTTTTTTTCATATAATTCAAATATTGGTTTATTTCATTTATCATTTATTTATTCACAGTCAATGTTTAAATTGTTGTTTTCATCTTAAAGGTTTTTCTTTTGTTTTTATTTCATGCTCGTTTTTATGAATTCACGAAATTTCTTGCGTCCGTAGCATGTGTAGTGTGTGATTCATAAATTGTGGTCTATACACGACATCGATTTTGTTTCTGCTTTTTATTTTCTCTCTTAACCCATCTGTGCTGTTTCCAAAAACAAAAGAATTCGAAATCGAAATTCATCTAGACGAAATTGAAATCGTGTTGTTTTTTTCTCGGAATTTTGTGTTAATATCTAGTGAAAATATGATTTCCCTTACACTTGTAGTTTCTCATTTTTCTTGTTTTTGTTGTATAGGATGTTGTTTGTTGTTTATAACAGACACATATAGATAAGGTGTCGATATAGTCAATGTTAATGAAGGAAAATGTTCCATGAAAACTGTGTGTGTGTGTGTGTGTATGTGTCCTTAAAACCGAACTGGATTTGCGCTCACAAACACATTCTTAAGCAATATAAGAATAATAATAATATAAACACTAAAGTCAAAATTGTTGCTAATAAACGAAAACAATTTACATAAGTATATGGAGGTTGACGCCATTTTTTTTTCTTGGGCCGTAGATCTATGCTTTTCTTGTTCTTCTTTCTTTATTCGTTTTACATGAAAATAAATGTGAGTTTATTCCAAACAAAAAAATCATCCATTGCGTATTATCATATTCCGAATAGTAAAGATTAATTTGTCTGCTGCACGATTCAGTATGTTTGAGATAATATGCACATCTTTTCTTTTTGTTATCGAATTAAACTAAGTTTTCTTTTTAAAAAAATGCCAATTTTGTGCTAAATAAAAAACAAATAACTAAGCCGCTAAAAATGGTTATTCAATAGGGGGAAAATTAAAATTACCGGAAGAAGATCAGTTCGAAATATTGTTGACCAATCATGGCTTTGAACTTGGTCTGGCTTGTAGCATTGCATGTGCACAAAAAATGAGATTGTATCCTAGAATTTCCTTGATTTTTTCTCTTAAGCAATCGACCATTTGTTATTGATATGGAAGATAATCGCAAATGAATGGCTAAATTATACGATTGCTAACACACAAACTTTTCATTTTCCGTAATTTTATTTTCTTTCCCATTTTATGATGCATCTTTCAAATTGGGCAATGGTGAATTGGCAGCAGACAAAGGCAATTAAAATAACTATGAATTTCTATCTCAATGTCCAAAATATGTTTATATATCAATTTGTTGTTGTTGCTGTTGTTGTAACTTAAAACTGCTCGTAACACTATTCACCATTTTGTTTTATTTGTGTTGTTGTTTTATTTTACTTGTATTTTCTTTTCATCTCTAAAAATTAATATAATTTTTAATCGCATTTTCTGTGGTTCGTCTAAAATACATCTAAGTTCCATTTTATAGTTATATACATATCATCTTTGTTGACAGATTTTCCTTATGAAGTAGTTGTGTGTTTTTCAAGAATGTTCGCCATATTGTTGCAGTTTTCAATACATCTGATTGCTATGTTTGTGGTTGTGTTGTTGTGTGTATTATGAATTGGTTTATCTGGTTCATTTGGATATACGTTTTTTTGTTGTCTTAGTTTCCTATGAATGTTTGCTCTATTTTTCAAGTGTTTAAATAATTCTGGCCATGTATATGGATTTTACCTGGAGGAGTGTATGTGATTTCTATTTTTATTTTTATTTTTTTTTCTTCGAATTGTGATTTGGATGTTTCGGTAAGTTTGCTTTAAGGATTTCGTTGGATACATTTGCGGAAATAATGGATAGGAAAATGAACAATCGAACTTAAACGTTTGCGGGAGAATAGAATTTGATGATGAACGCATTCAGCCATCTTCTTTCGGTGGTGTGAACCAACCTAAAAATAAAACAAGTAAAATTCCAGTTAATTCCAAGTTCACCCACTTATCAAATGCATTGCAAACTCTTTTTAAAATCGTGGAAATTTCAATGACGTACCATTTTTCTCGTGTATTTGCACTAAACTTTTGAAACTTTGTTGAGCTCTCGCCAAACTGTATTGACCTTGTGAGAGAACCTGCAAAGTAAACAAACCGAATTGAATGAAGGCATCCGTAGGAAAAGTTACCATGGAAACAAAACGTATGTCGTCTTTGATCACCTTGGTCTGTGAACCGAACAAAATGCGTGCTTTTCCTTTGACTAGAGTAGCCGCAATTTGCATTATGACCGCTTCAACAGTGTAGGCTGAACTCCATCCTTGCTTCGTCAGCAATTCCATACAAATTGCTCCACCCAGTAAAACATAACCACCTAAAAAACAACAACAACAACAAAACCGGATTAATTAAGATTTTACACTTTCTAAATAAAAACCAATCGATTCACTTTCTCGAGAAACTCCTTTCATTAGAAATTTCTCGTTATAGACGCTCGTGGTGTGTGTGTGTGTGTGACATTGAATGTACCTGAAATAATTGGATAAACGACACGAACGAATGGTGGCTCAAATGGGTACGTTTCCTTGAACATAATATTTAATAGGATGCTGTCCTTTCCTTCCTTCTCTTTCAACTGTACTAAATCATTGTAGAGCGGACTGTCCGGATCGACGGAACGCAAGCGAATATTCCATTCGTATATTGAATCGTTGACCAGCTCAATGGAATACATGTTACTTTTAAACGACTCCGAACGGTAGATATCACGTAATTCTTTCATAAGGCGATCCGTTGCCTGCACTGACCCACTGACAGATCCCTGAAAAGATACACATGCACACGCACATAAATACAATGGTCACACAATTTGCCAAAATTGTTTATGATCCAAATATTGATTATTCATTTATATATTTCCTGTTCTCACACCTTCAAATAGTCTTGACGTTGACTTTGACGAAGTCTTTCTAACGTGGCCAAATGTTCCATATCCATTTCGTCCTTCTGTAAATGGCAAAGACCCAAATCAATATTTTACCTTCTGTTTGTATTTCTTTGGGAATAATGCACCATGACATTGTTATGCCTGAATCACAATGTAAATACCTTGTTCGCATTGCGTCCATCATCCATTTCCAATGACAAATCTTCGTCTACTTCACTCTCTGGCTCCGATTCAAGGGTCGCATCCTCGATCTCTTCAGCATCACTGTCCTCAACAGCGGCCTGTTCGCTGTGCTGATGAAATGTTGCTCGGAAAAAATCGGCATTTGGCGGTAACATTAGGGTATCCAATTCACTTGGCGACGGAACATTATGCAAATCGCACAATTCACGTAACAAAATATTCACCTGTTACACACGGATAAAACAGACCGAAAATAAATTGAATCAATTTTTTGTTCGGGAAATTGCGATTGATATTTTCTTAGCAGCTGACTCATTCCAACTTACTTGATTCAAAACGTGATTATTTTGACCTTCTGTTGTGCTAAGCTTTTGAACGGCACTCGTAATGCTGGTCTCTTCGCTTTCGGCAAACCATACCGGTGGCGTCGATGGATATGTCTCCTGTATAAATAAACAGAACCAAAATGAAAACCCTTTCGTCGAAAATTCGCAGAGTTTATATTCAATTTGATTTCGAAGAAATGTGGAATTTTGAGGAAAGTAAAAGAAAACATCATTGTGTTCGTCATATCAAATCTTGTTTGTTTCGTGAGAATCTATTACTCATTCTATCACTCTATGGTCGTGTAGAAAAATCGTGAACGAGATAAGAAACTAAGTAAAAAGAGTCAGCACATTTTGAATGGAATGAAAATAAAACTGGTTGCAACGTCATTTTGTTAAGATGGCACTTTCTTTCATCTGCTTACTAAATATACTTAGAACAAACAAAGTCAGCAGGGAGCAGGAGAGATGGACAAAAGTGACAAAATCATTGTTATGCTCATGGGAATGTATATTTCGTTGATTTAGAATAGCCTCTGTCATCCAATGGTTAGCAAACACATCGAATGTAAGACGAAAACATTTACTGCTCTGTTGAATTGTCATAAAAATTCTTCTGGAGTCATAAACTATATTTTTGTCTAAAGCACAATAGAGAAATGTACGAAAAGAAAAACTGTTGTGACGACAGAATAGAAAAAGAAGAGGAAAAAGAAAACGAAATTGTCAAATGCTATTGAAAATGACGTCAAATGAACTATTTAACACAACGAGAAAGTGTTTTGGCAATGCTAAATGTTGTGTATAGAACAAATAACAACAACACACAGACAACCCGTGTCCCATATGATGATAACAACAAATGTATGAAAATTCAGCTCGAATGCACAAAATGAGTTTTCACTTTGTAAGGTCGCGCGTTACAACGCCATAAAACCTATACACGGTCGTTCAAACTAAATAACCAATTCAACGCAAACGTTTTTTTTCCTCATGCACTGTCGTTGTCTCTGTCTTTTTCGGATCATTTGTGTGAGCTCAAGTAATTGCGACCGTACAAAAAAAAATCTGTATACAAGTTACAAGCACTAGACAATTTTGGCAATCTACGCTTCAGTATCTTTTCACTTTTGGAGAAATATCGAAAAGCGCACACATATGCACAGACAACAGAGGAGCTGGTTCACATGTATGAGCAGAGAGCTCACGAGAGGCACGGACAAAGACGACTTCGAAATGGAACGAAAATAAAAAGATCAAACACAACACACACCGAGACAGTGCGATAGAAAAAGAGGGAGAGAAACGCAAATTGTGGGAGCAAAGAATAAAAACACAATGGAACACAAAAAGAGGCATTCTCGATGATGACTTCGACTTCGAAATAAAGAGAGAGAGAGAGAGAGAAAAAACTACACATTGAATCGCCATCGAGAAGAAATGCGGTGAAAAGGATCGAAACAATGCTTTACTTTTAAAGTGTGTATCGAACAAAACATATTTCTTTTTTCTGCCATCCCGAAAGTTGTACATAACTAAATCATAAAGAGAGAGAGAGAGAGAGAGAGAGAGAGAGAGAAAGAAAGAAATGGAAAGCAATAATTACAGTGATGTTTGCATGGATGTCGTAGTTTTTGCCATTTTTCCCAATAAATCGACAGGTTAGCTCGTCGACGCTGGCATGCAAAATTCGAAAACGTTCGTGGTTTTTTGTGAATGTTCGTTCTAGCGTTTTTATCTCCAGTTTCAATGTGTTGAGGCATGCCATTTCGCCGTGTTGTCTTCGTAGTGTCGCACTAAATTTAGTTTTTGCACTGCCGTTGTTTTTCTTCGATTCCGAATGATTTTTTCTTCTTTTTTTTTCTTGTTGCTGCTGCTTTGTCGATTATATATATATGCGCGCTGCTTGTATTCCACTCTTCTATTTCTTCGTTTATTATTTCATTCGTTTCTTTTGCAATTCATTTGTGGTTAATGTTATTATGATTTCACGAAAGAAAGAAAGAGAAAAACAATTGCGTCGGAGTGTGATTTGCAGTACGGTTTTTCGAGTTCATTCAATGTATATTCTAAAATTCAATTGGTCCGTTTCGAATGGGTTATGTGAATCGGTGGTAAAACGAACTCGATTTTTTTTTTCAATTTTTTTCGTGTATTCGGAGAGTCGGTGCTTATGCACAAACGCAACGAGTATGAGCTCCGAATATGCGTTGCTTCTGCTATGTACACTCGGTATAACGATGTGAATGTCCGTCGTCGTCGTTGCTGTTGCCGTCGTCGTCGTGGTTGGTGTTGATGTTTCAGACGATGTCTACAGCAGCTCGCTTTGTCTATGTGTACGTGTAAAGTGAGTAATATCTACAGCACTCACTCACTCAATACACTGTACACGAAAGTAGCTTTTTCTTATTTACTTTATGTTCCACCTTCACTGTTCGCTCATTTTCTACGTATGTATAATATTTTTCTTGTGTATATTCAACTTTTTTTTTGTTTGTTCCCCAAAAAAAACAATTTTTTATGCACACGATGGCACTACATTTTTGAAAGAAGAAAAAATATTATGAATGCACAACACTTTTCACACTCTCTCAATATGATGGATACGGAGAGGTTTTTCTATATTGAATTTGGAAATTTGGTGGTTGTTCCACACACAAACACATGTACATACACGCTCAGACGGAGAGCAAGAGAACAAAGCGAATCCAATTTCGGTCGTCGATTAATCACTTCTTTACAAGTGCGTATGTATTTGCTACTGCTGCTGCTGCTGCTCTTTTTGTCTATCAAAATTGCGACTTCGGAGGTTTTTTTTCTCGTCACTTTTCACATTTCATATCTTTTTTTTGCTATCCGCGATACACACTCAGCACAGTTTTAAATTGAATGCCTTGAAATCCCGATCAAGCGACGAATGTGAGAGAAAGAAAAATTATTTCCGTATCACTTGAATGTCGTGAGTATTTGGGGCACCCCGAACTCGATGTAGAGCCAACCAATTGAATTCCATGAAAATTTGCCTCTTTTCACGTATCCTGCCTGTATTTTTTTCTGTACGATTTTTCTGCGATTTTAATATGGACGAAACATGGTTATTCAATATGCTGGCAATGCGATTTCTTTGTTATGCAAACTTTTTTTTTTCTTTTCTACTTTCAATTAACTTCACACGGTCGCACTCGAAAATGTTACTTATGTTGCGCGAAAATGGCTTTGAAAACTATTCGCTGCCTTCTCGTAACTTTATGGGTCTATTCCTTTTGAATTTAATTCTGATGTGTATGATTCGGTGTGTTTTTTTTTTCTTTTGCTTCGGTTTCGTCTATATGTTTTTTATTTAATTTGCTTCCTCCTTCACCTCACTTTTGTTGTGTATTGTAAGAGTGTCGCAAATGCGAGAGCTGCGTTGATACGTTCAAACAGACCAATTGTATTAACACTGTATATGCGTATCCGAGACTGACAAAAGCAACGAGAAAGAGAGAAAAAAAATACTCAATAGCTGTGAGCAACACATAACAAGCACCAAAAAACCATACTTCGACAATCCATGGGTTTTGACAGTTCGAGCGTATGCGATGTGAATTCAGGTTAAGGCAATATAATCAGGACACCACCAGAGGTCACTGCGCATTTGTGGAATCTGATTCAAAAATCCAACAAAAACTGTCAACATTTCCAAAAGTTTTCGTCGATTGAGTCTGTCATTCCAAAAATTTCATAGAAAAATTACAATTTTTCATGCACAACGATATTTTTCATTCATTTATCGTGCAAATTACTCAGTATCACCTTCGTCAGTTTTGTTATGCACCTGCTATCATTCGATTGGCGCATACGTAAAATGAAATGTCAGACAATTCAATTCGATGGCATTGAACGCACTTGTTTCGCGCCAATCCGTAAACTGGCAGACGACGCACTGGCAGAAGACCTCTGAATCGACCAATCACAGTGCACGGAAACCCGTATTTTCGGTGAATGGCAGTGAAAAAGCCAACTAGTAGGCGAAGTACCGTACAAACACGCAGCTCGAATATACAAAAAAAAACAGACCATTTACACAGTGCCAGCAGAAACAAATTGTTTTTTTTTGCTCCGTTACGGCCGCACTTTGAAATCAATTGTTAACGCAAATTTTTAAAGAACAAAAAGAACGCACACAGTTTTCGAGACAAAAGTCTTATTAAATAGGAAATTTTAGAATTTTATTTGGTAAGTTCAACACATTGGATATGATTTTGGGAAATTAATTTTGAGCGGCTAAAGATGTGTGTTTGTACATTTGATTTAGCTGTCGTCATTTTACGTGTGCTTTCGCAAAGTTTTTCTTTTTTGTTTGTTTAACCAGTTAATTCTTTTCGATTATTTTCGAGAAAAAACGAAAGTCCAAATCTAAGCGCAATTATATGACCAAAAAAAAGAAGATTTAATTGAGTGCGTTGCAGTGTTGAAACCCAACCGAATAGTTTTTGTTCGATTAACACCTGAACATTAACCTTTTGAAGGTTCCAATTGCATCACTGATTGACATCATCGCTGCTTTCTTGATCACTCTTTAATAAAACCGTTTTCGTTTCTTTTTGTTTCTATTTTATCGGTGGGCAGCAAGGAACGGAAATTAAACATAAGCCGCCAAGATGTCTGAACGCAAAGCCGTCATTAAAAATGCTGACATGAGCGAAGAGATGCAACAGGACGCAGTGGACTGTGCAACACAAGCCCTCGAGAAGTACAATATCGAAAAGGTAAGTGTATTGAAAAACGATTTGCATATTTACTCTGGAAATATTAATGCAATTTGTACGGTACCACGTGGCTTTTTGGCGGAGAAACAAAGACACCACGGTTCATATGCGAGTCAGTCATGTATGTTTCTCTGTCTCATTTGAATGAAGTGAACAATTCAATGACCATTGAACGAATGGGTAGCTCGAGTGTAAATATTTTCATCTCAATTGATTATTTTGCAATGAAAATGGCCTACTTTGTCTCAGTGAAAAGTTTCAAGTGAATCATTGATGGGTGACTGCAATCGATTATAGAATATCGATCGAATTAGCCACATTATTCAGCACTGTTTCCATACAGAACGCAGAACAATGTTATGGATTTCATTCAACCAAATTCACATTTAGTCGGTCATTATGTGACAGGATTTTCAGTGGTGCTATCGTTTTTCATGCGAAAATCCATCGACATAACTCTAGCTTATTTTCATATCGCGATTGCATTTTCAAGCAAATCTGCGATTAAATTTATCTCACGAACAGATAGAGAGACAGAGATAAAATTCAATAAGTGAAAGACTAGAAAATATTTGTCTGTTTATTGATAACGCCTAATCCGATGGAGAGATAATTTGCCATGACCGTCATCAGTTCACATCGTATCGTTTCAATCGAAAACAATTTTGACTCGACCGCACATACAAACCAATTACTCACTAGAGCCAACCACATTCAGTCGGATTTCAAACGAAAATTTTCGATCGAACATTGTGTCATCAAGTCATCAAGCCATATTGAACATTCCGCAGCCCTTTTAAGGGCATCGATTTGCATATATCATGATACCGTTGTGCCATGACTAATCTTTTTTTTCTTCTCTTTTATAGGATATTGCAGCCTACATTAAGAAAGAATTCGACAAAAAATACAACCCGACTTGGCATTGTATAGTTGGCAGAAACTTCGGTTCGTATGTAACACACGAGACGCGTCACTTCATTTACTTCTATTTGGGTCAAGTGGCTATTTTGTTATTCAAAAGCGGCTAAACCATTCGATAAAATAGAAAAGCAACAAAAAAAACAAACACAAATCAGAAACAATGTTACGTTATTGCAATAACGTTATTGAACAATATGTGAATGAAAGTAAATCAGCCATCCAACAAAAATTGTTGATATAAAGAAGAAAAAAACAAAGTAAAACCAACATAAATATCTAATACTTAATTAATAAAATTAAACACCGTTTTTTTGCTCTGATCATACACATTATTCTCTTGGTTTGGGACCGATTTAATATGGAATTCTGTTGAATTTAAAACAAAACTTATATTTAAACGATGTACGTACACTTAGCCAAACTCATACACAGATCGTCTTTCCCATCGATCATCTTTCTTTTATGTTTGTGTTGAAGTGAGAAGAAAAAAAACGACGCGACCAGCATTTCTTGAATCAAACTTGAAATGTCAATGGTGGAGCAAGTGTCGATGAAACTGATTTGACCATGTTTTCCTCTTTTAGACGAGGTTTGTTTTTAGTTTATCTTTATTTTTTATCTGTTTGTTTGTTGAAATAATGAGAAAATGAAAGAAAAAAAAAATCAAAAATATTCTATTTAAAAAAAACCTTTTTGCGGATTGCTCATGATCCCACATTATTGCGATATAAGAAACAATCTATATATGTCAATTATTTGCAATTAAAAGTGATGAATATCCACTTTGGCTTTGAATTGGCAATGTGATTAGTTGTGTGTACACTTCACAAAACCCATCACTTTTTATGGTCCATTTTTTTCTATAGCGAAAATCGTCAAATCAAATACATGAACAAAATGTTAAGAACAAATGAAACGGGAGAAAAATACTGGGATTATAGAAAGATAGACACGGTGAAGCCCGTCATAAGACTAAAATATGCAAAAGTGAAACATGTTCTATGCTGTCCATGTAAATTCATGTTTCCCTTCTGCGTATTCGGAAATTCCGAATCGGAATTCATGTTTCAATTTCGCGTACTTTTCTTTACGTTACGTCTTAGCATATCTATCCATACAATCCCAGTATTTTTCCTATACCTACTCAAATGTTGAGCATTTATTACGGATATTCTCCACGAGCAACCATAAACCGAAAAAAAAACAAAAACATACACAATTCGGGAAGACAACTTTTTAACTTTTTACTCTATCTAAATGTTCTATTCTATGAACCAGATTTAAAAGTATTTGAACCAAGAAACAAACAAATTAAAAGGAAACATTTTCGATGTAAAAAACTAATTAAATTTTGATCCAACATCCGCACATACCAGTACGCATCCGGTTTTTGTGTTAATCTCTCTCGATCAAGAACATTGCGATGAATTTCGATAATGATGGTTGGAATCAACATTTTTAGCAATTGATTGTAACTAATTTACTAATTGATATACATTAACTCAGATATATACATATTTAATTGTAATAAACAGCATTTCAAAGGAGTAAAACAAAAATGTGAAAGAAAAACTAAAACGAAGAAATATTCTCTCTATCGCGATCATTGAGCATTACAATTGTGTGTAAGTGTGTTACTTTTTTTTCGATAATACTTGTTGGCACACTTGCGTGAATCTTTTGAAAAAATGCCTTTCTATAGTGAAGTTCATCAACATGACTTGGTACTTTTCAGCGTTTACTTTGGTTCTTTTTTTAACACGGCGTTGTTTGCAAAATGGATAAATACAGCTTAGAATACAGGTTTGTTTATAGAGCGTTGTTTGGTGATTGTTCTGAACTGTCATACTGAGGCTTATGTATCAATTTTTTTTTGCTTACCTTCATCGAGTATTATTTAATGCTGGCTAAGCCAGCGAGATTTTTATTCTTAGAAGCAATGGGTATTCATACCAATCATTCGCAAGCACCATTCTTCTTCTTTTCAATAGCAGTGATTTCAAGCATAGAACCATTCACTCACTCAAAAAGCCATCATCTCACTCAAAAAGCCATCATCTCAGGGGAATTGGTTGAAAAATTGATTTGCGGATTACTATATAATCATTGCGTTGAATCAACGTTGTTAACGCTGAGGAAATATTTGTCGACAATGTCGACTTGACATGAATTGTTGTCAAGCGTGAAACATCGTAGCTCGAAAACATTAAATCCAAATTCGAAATCGGAATTTCGGCAATGTTGTTTGCGCGATAAGCGCACAAAACAACGATCACTATGTTCAACACTAAATTTAGACATGGTTTTGTTTCACCGGCCGCTTTATTACAGTCATTTTACAAACTCTCAACTACAAAATGAAAGGTATGTAATTACAATCTTTGTTTCTCCCTATCTCACTCTCTTGTTCACATCTCTAGCACTAGTGCAAATAATGGAGAGAAACAAAATTGCGAAACGTACAAATGACCTTGTACCACAGAAGAAATAAACATTCAATACTGAACAGCAAATCAAGAAATGGAAAAACAACAAACGAATATGTTATTAAAAAAACATAGAGAGAGAGAGTACATTTAATGCGTCGTCATCGTGGAAACGATTGCTTGGCGATTTGCTATGGCGAACATTTTTTTTTGCAAGCAGCGAACGAGTGAGCGAGTGATTGATACAATGAACGCCGAGAATTCTCACCGATTCCATTGGATTTGAAGAAATCCATTTCAATCATTTTGACGATGAATCCAAGTTTTTGTGAATGTGCGTGTACGAGAGAGAAATGTTCGACATTTTTCTTCTTCTTTCTTCTTCACAGTAAAATGTTTCGCAACGTTGGGTAGTTGCGCTAAATTTTGTGCAATTTTATTTGTTCGAACGCGTGCACGAACCGTTAAAATCACGAATTTTCGTCTATAAACACAGTGAGTAATAGGGCGATAAAAGGCTTTTCCGCATTCAACAGTAACGGAAATCCAAATTTCTATTCCTCATGCAGTTTTTTTTTGAAAAAACATTTCACATACCGTTGACATGCGATCAATGAAGTTTTACAATTGCATGTGCTATATGGGTTTTATGGTGACGCGCCGTTTTCTCTTTCTCGCCAATTAAATACGGTACGCGTCTCTGGTCATGTGCAACGACCAATCGTTTTGATATGGAAACTCAACAAAGTGGCAAATACCCAGCACTACCGCATCACAATTTGACTGATCCATATGCTACGTATAGGTTTTTTTCTACTTCTTTGTAGCATGTTCGCTTTTCACTTGAAATCGCTCGTCTGTATTCCCCATTCACTAGCTCACAGTGTTGTTTTTTTTTCTCTTCTTCATATGCGAAACAATGGAATACACGCGAAATAACATCGATCATTACCGCAACAAGTAACAATAATCGTTCATTCAACAAGTGACTGTTGAGCTGTTCAGACGGTTTTTTCTAAGCGACCGCGAATTAACTCGTTCGAAGAGAATAAAAAACCAAACAGTGATTGAATTCAAATCCAATTGACAAGTGTTTGCAAAGTTTTAATTATCCCGTTCGTAGTGTATTTTTAGCGAGAGAAAAAAACGAATTGTTACGATGAGTCTGCAACTTGCTTCTTGTGATGAACAGTATAAAAAATTTCCACAACTCGATCGCAATGAAGTGTTGAAGCTGCAAGATTGGACCGAGAAGCAACAACATCTACCCAACGTCACGGGTATAATTGATAAAATATTAGAATGTGTATTGATCATTTGGGAAATTGGACACTTTCAAAAATCGTTCACCAATTTGAAACCGCTTGAGGAACTTCATAGAAACCCATACAGTAGAATTGATTTAGATCGATTCCACTGATTGGATTTGACATCACTGTATTTGTATTTATTGAAGCTTCAATGCAAAATAGAGTGCAACGACAACGACAGCGACAACGACAACAAAATCAATTCGATATGCTCAATGCACAGACACTAAAATCATTGACCACATCCGATTTGCTGGATAGAATTGGTTTTCACCGCACAAAAGACACGTTTGAAAGCCCAACGCAAAGTTTTTGCTTATATTGGAAACTTGTTTCGAATTCTAAAATTGTACAAATTTTGGGACTTCATACGTTGTATGATTCAGAATTCTGTCTGATCTCTGAACTACCGCCTCTCAAAAAAAAGTCTCCCAAAATGAGATAACGAGTCGAACATCGAATTTTAATTTATTCAGAACGTCTACTACATAGTAAACTTAGTCGATGGCTCAATGTCATGAAACTAGTTTATTTGTTCAAAAGCATGAACAGACCAGTACAACGGATGCTATGCAAATGCGTCAGTGTGTGAATTATTTAAACAAACCGTCTAAAATTTTCAAACGAAGAAAAAAACAACAATCTATTTGATCAGTACGTATTGTATTGTCGTGCATCGGTTGTGATCCATTATTTGATAATCACTTCAACCCGATTCCCTCGACACGCTCATTTACGCTTGTTCTCACGTTGAAATCACCGTGTTGCGTCGCCAATTTATTCCATTTTTACAACAACAGCAAAAAATGAAAGAAAAAACAATTGCTCAAACCGATGAGCATTCATTCACCGCGGTAAAAAAAATTACTACCAAGTCAATAGCAGGGAAGCCTATTCAAATTAAGTTAAAATTAACTTCCAATTAAAACACCAATCATCTGATAGATATTGAAGGGAAAAAAAAGAATTTATGTGCTATTTTGCTGCTATTTTTAGCTTGATTTATTATTTTATTGATTACTTTTCAGAGTTGGAAGCTCTAACCTTTCTACATGCATGCAATTATAGCGTTGAAAGGGCAAAAGCATGCATGGATACGTACTTCACCGTTCGAACTCATTGCCCGGAATTTTTTGCGAAGCGCGATGTGAATGGTGCCGATATCACCGCACAAATGAACGTTGTGTAAGGCGTAATTTTCGATAATCGATTGATTGAAAAAAGTTACTATGACGGAATTGTTGTTTTTTTCTGTATTTTTAGAGCCTTAGCACCACTTCCAGGTACGACAAAGGATGGATATCGCGCCGTTTTGTGTAAATTAACCGATTTTGAACCGTCGAAATTTAATTATGTGGATACAAATAAATTGTGAGTTTGAACATTTTCAAGATCCACAAAAATACATGGCTTCTGTGCATGAACTTATTTATGTCACAATTTTCAATATTTTTATTTAATGCTACATTATTCCAAGTGGATCATTTTAATTGGCAAATTTCTATTTAATTTTAATGGAATATTCAAAATTTAAGATTTACAATGGCAACGGACTTATTACTGGCTCAAGATGGAATTGCTGAAGGTGACGCTATTGTCATTGATATGACTGGGTCTACGCTCTCCCATTTGGCTAGAGTCAACATTTTTGCACTGAAGAAGTTCATGTTTTACATTCAGGTTTGTATCAAGTTCAAGTGTTCACAATTTTCCTTTGGCTTGACTTTTGAGTATTATTCAATGAATAAATCATGATTTATTTTGGTGTCAAATTTCAATATTATAATATCAAAATAAAAAATTATTTCCGCTCCATACAGGAAGCGTTGCCAGTTCGCTTGAAAGCCTTACATTTTATAAACACGGTACCATTTATGGATAAAGTGTTGGCAATGATGCGACCCTTCATGAAGAAGGAACTAATGGACGCGATGCACTTACACTCGTCGTTGGATTCATTCTTGGATAATCATGTGCCAAAATCCATGATGCCCGAAGAATATGGCGGTTCAGCCGGAAAACTGAAGGATCTTACCGATAAGGCCTACAAGAAATTGCAATCGTTTCCACAATTCTTCCAAGAGGAAGAAGAAACGAAACGTGTCAACGAAAAATTGCGACCAGGAAAGCCAAAAACTGAAAGCGATCTCTTCGGCACTGATGGCAATTTCAAACAATTGCAATTCGATTAGATAGCAACATCATCATCGCATGGTTAGCATTACTGTGTGCTTTATTTTTTTTTCAAGCAATTCTCAATATTTGTACCAGAACTTTGGTTCACATTCACCAACAAAAATATCATATTTGAACACCTCTACATTGCACCATTCTAATTGTTTTGTTTTGTTTTGCTGGCCAAAAAAAATGGCCGCTTGATTGAAGGGGTTGGATAGAAATTCAATAAAAAATTTCACGATTGAACAAAAAGACGAACAAAACGACCAAAAGTATTTCTTTCTTAAAATCTAAATTCGTTTACAGATAAACTTTAAACTGGTTAACGACTTTACGAGTTGAATGAAATAAGAGATGTAAAACTTAGAAAAAAAATGAATAAACAGAAAGTTACTGTGGAAATTTTAAATACATTGGGTGATATGAGTGGTAAATCATGTATGACAACGGTCTATTATATGCAAGCTTAGTGAGTGATGTTCCAGAGAAATGTTTTTATTCGCATGACTTCAATCACCTGCATATCAAATGTATGTAGGCTGTAGGGTAAATTAAGTGTGCCACTCGAATCTGGCTATAAAAAACAAATCAAACCATTCCACTACTCAAGTCAAATAGAAGCAACAAGTGAAACGGTAATTATAGTCGGTGTGGACCAAAATCTCTTTATAAAATATTTTCGTTTTAACCTAATGACAAATGTGATTTTTTTTCATTTGTGTTTGTGTACTGTTGTATGGTGGCAGAGAAAGTTTACTTTCTGACAATCCATTGAATGGAAATCATTTTCTGTTTAAGACAAATGACTTCTGAAGTTATATTTATCATCTTAATGTTACAATGTAACTTTAATTATTAAAAACCTTATTATTCAAATGAATTCAACTTGATTGGACCAATACTTGGATCAATACTTGATTGGACACATGTTCGTGTCTTATTATATATGGTTAATCGTTGCCACTTCGAATAATTAAAAAAGAAGATTTGGCCATTAAATATCCAAATGGAAAAATTCTTTCTATTTTCTCATTCGTTGAAGTACGTAAGAAATGTACACGCATGATTGTGATTCAACCTTTCTAAATTTGAGCTACAGATCGTCATCATATTAGCTTCAAATTTAAGGAAATTCAAATTCAGTTCCGCATAACCGCATAACCGGTCACAGGCGCTGTAGCTCGAAACATTTTCCTTTAAATCACTTTTCCAATCATATCAACTGAGAGAGCATTTTCCTGGTTATTAGCTGGCGCATGGTAAACTCTTCTGAATAATTCATGAGAATTAAATCCTCGTACAGTAGAGACAGTATCGAAAGCAACAATGTGACCGCTTTCACAAAAGAGATAAAATTAAAAAGCACACTGGTTCCTGGTATTGTTTTTACGCATCATTAATTTCATTTCATGCCTCGCTTCAAATGTTTTTTCTCTCCTCTTGCGTCGATTACATTATTTTTACATAAATAAGCTGATTAAAGCCTTAAGTCCTTCATTTAGTCAGCAGATTTGAATAAAATTCAACAGGGAGGTTCGAAACAGTTCTAACAATAGCAAAGAATGGAAGTCTTGATTTGCAGTCAAAAATTGTGGAAAGTGTTTTGCGTGTACGTATTTAAATGAAACGGCGAGTTTGAAGAGCAAGCTCCTAAGTCTTTAATCCAATGCCTATATTTCAATGATGCTTACCTATTTTGCGATTACAAGCATTTTGTATGTGATTATCGGCGGAAAAACAATAAAATTAGAAGCTTCGCTGTTTGGTGTATTGTAGTGTTCTTCGGCCGCATCAGTAATTCCAGCCTATATGAATAAACAAAATGTGGCCAATTTCGTGAACAGCATTAAATGTATATTCGTAGAAAGTATGCGTCATCAATCAATTTATTTCGAAGAACTGTGGATTGAGAATTGCAAATTTACCAACGAAAAATGCACATTTTTAATCAGCGTGGTATTTCTTTGAAGGGATCGGCTTAGACAACGAAATAGTCGCACATTATGCGGCAATCGAGCAGAAAACATTCAAAACAGCAAAATGGATTTTCATCATTCATGTATCTTATGTATCCAGGTCAAGAAGTTTTCGGAGCTACCATGTCTTTCGTTCTATTGCGGGGAAAATTTGACTTTTCCACGTGGTACGTTGCTTTGAAAACATTTTTCGGATTGTTTGCTGTTTGCAGTTTGTTGTGGAATTAAATCGATTTTTCATAGAACGCGGTTCGATCGAAGCACTTTGAAAGGATATCTTTTGTATGTATTCTTCGAGGCGAATTTAGAAGTCGCGTTTTTTTTGCGCTCATATTTCATTTTATCTTTGTTTTGATGCATTCGTTGAACCGAATTTTTGACCGCATTCATGAGATATGTGCAGAAATAAAATTTCGTCCGCAATTCGACCGCTTTTCCACGAAGCAATTGAATTTCAAGTTCAAATTTACAAGTAAATTCAATTCGCTCAAAGTATTATGCAACAAATTTGCTTCATTTGATCTCAAATTTTAAGGTTATTCCATCAGTTTTCGGATATTATCCCTCTAGTTCGTAAGACCGCCAAAAGGCGGGGTGCACAAAATGGCCCATAATTTGCGTACCATGTTATAGATGGTCGAAAATATGGTAGCATTGCATTGGATAGGCCTTTAGATTCAAATTGATATATAAATTTTATAATATATGTCAAGCCGGGGCCGAGTTTTGGGCCCTCAAAAGTGACATTTTGTGCAATTTTGAGAAAAAATAATTTTCTGAATTCACATTTTTTTGGGGTAAGCTCTAAATACTTTAAAAACTATTTTCAGTGGTCGTTGATTTTTTTGCAGGTAAATGAGGAGGTATTCATTTGATTTTGATCATTATTGCATCATTTTTATATTAGGTTACAATTTGGGGCCTTAATATAGCGGGCCCGCCAAAAGGCGGTCTTGCGAGTACAGGAAAGAAAAAATTCACACTTCGCAAGACCGCCTTTTGGCGGTTTTCATAATATTTCTTCATTCCGAATTGAAATATGTAGATCAAAAGTACCACTTCTAACATACCGTTGGAAAGGGTACATCCAAGACTATCGTCTGGGATATTTTCATTAAATTCCAGTGTAGGGTTGCCCAGAAATAGGTCTAGAAAATTGAGTCTTTCTCAGCTTTCCTCATTCTGACTTCAAATAGGTACACTAGAGGTACCTTTCACAAGATAAATTGGCCCACATGCTATATTGCCGCTGAAAGAAGGATAACTACGACTAAAATCAGGGAGAATTTCAATACAATTAAGCATAGGGTTGCTAGAGAATAGGTTCTGAACTGTGAATTCTGCCCATTTCTTTTCATTCTTAATTCAAATATATACACTAGAAGTACCCCTCACAAGAAATGTTGGCCTATATGTTATATACCAGCGGAGATACGATACTCAGAGCTATGATCTGGCAAAGTTTTATTGTATTTCAACGTGAAGTTTTATTGTTATGTTGTCTAGAAGTTGAAATTACATTGAAAACGGGAAAAATACAAAAATATCCCCTTTAGTGAGAACCGTAGTTAGCGCGCAAGACCGCCTTTTGGCGGGCTGAAGGAAGGCGTAAATACACGCAAGACCGCCCTTTGGCGGGGTGTAATTTTCCGAGTTTTCCGGCTAAAGGAAAACTGTATCGAGCTTTTCATTATTTTTTTTGTCATTTTTGGCTCAAAATTAGCCTAGAATAGAATTCCCAGCTCTGTAAAAAAATGGCGCAGTAGAGGGTTATGAGTGTCGTCTTTTTATTCGAACTGATTTTTGGATGTGCTTATATGTCAACCACAAGGCAAAGTCGCACATAGGACCTGACATTATCATGATTTTCTCCTTGCCGCTTCTTAGTACTTATTCTGTGCTGTCTTACTTAACAACACAATCTTTGACCAAATTCCAAGATTGTGCTCGATTAACTTACTTCTCAAATTGATATCTTTTGCCGCAACAGCAACAGCGAGCAGTTCTGACGATCATTGAATTCCGTTCAGTGTGAGAAAATTTTCAGCGGAATAGGCTTCATCAGTTGTTCGATGGAGAACTTTGTGGTGGTATTAATATTGCCTTTGGACACAAGCCATTCATTTAATTATACAACTTTTGCTCGTAGATAATTAAAATAGCGTTCTCATACTATATCATCATTAAAAAATTAACATCACATTCGCAAGGAACAAGGTTCAAATAATGGGGAGCCAAACCTATTTTGAAACATTCAATTTAATTGGAAAAAAAGCATACAATTAAAATATAAAACAAACTCAATACAATGTGTATTCCAATGCTTTATTGTGTCAGATGGGTAGAACATTTCAGTTATACAGCAGTTTGTCAGCTAATTTTACTCATCTCCATTGAAGTTTTTGGCAGATGGAGACGTCACCTCTTTTTTAAATGAAATACGCTGTAAAATTCATAATCGATGTTTAAGTGTTAGATTTGTTATTGACTAACGTCCGCCTAGAGAATAAGTAGTAGTAGTAGTGTTTTTCCAGCCTAAAAGAATAAGTAGATAGAAGTTGAAATGTTTCGACTATCGAAATTAAATTAATTTACCATGTGTTCGTTCTGCTCTTGCGAATGCCTGTTTGGCCGATTCTAGAGTGTATTCACCTAATGCCTTGTTCTGTGGAAATCAGAAGAAATGAGTAAAAATAATTGAAATCCTTGTTTCATTTATACCTTGCTCTGTGGGGGAATACGGCCTTCTCCGGCTACCAAAGTCGCTGAAACTTGCATGATAATCGCTTCAACTGTGTAAACTGAACTCCAGCCAACAGATAACAGTTCCATGCAAATGGCGCCGCCGATCGTTACATGACCACGCTCAATTACTGGCGAAACAACCCGAACGAACGGTGCCTCGAATGGGTACGTTTCCTTGAACTTGAAATTCAAAATGATGCAGTCTTGGCCGGTGGTTTCATGGAATTGTTGTAAGTCTTTGTACAGTGGGCTGTCTGGATCAAGGTGACGTAATTTAACATTCCATTCATAAATCGAATCGTTGACCAGGTCAACGGAATACATGTTACTTTTGAACGATTCCGAGCGGTAAATATCACGCAATTCTTTCATAAGTCGATCCGTTGCTTGCAATGATGACGAAGACACAGATCCCTAAAATACCACAAACATAAAAATTCACATTTTGGCAAAATGATGGAAAGCAAATTGTTCAAACAGATTTTTCGTACCTTCAAATAGTTCTGACGTCGACTTTGTTCAAGTCTTTCCAAAGTTTCGGAGTATTTTGTGTCTATTTCGTCCTTCTAGTACAAGCAAAACAATCATTATTTATTATCTTTTTGGTTTTCTGTGAGAAAATGCACAACAATTCTTATGATTTGAAGCAACAAACCTTCTTCGCATTGCGTACATCATCCAATTCCATTAAGAAATCTTCGTCCACTTCACTTTCTGGCTCCGATTCAAGGGAATCATCGTCTTCAGCATCATTTTCTTCAACAGCGGCTGGTTCGCTTTGCTGATGAAGTGTTGCATTGAGTGATTCGACATTTGGAGGTAACAGTAAGGTGTCCAATTCACTTGGCGGCGGAACTTTATGCAAATCGCACAATTCACGTAACAAAATATTCACCTTGGTTACACATGGATAAACAGACCAAAAATAAATTGAATCAATTTTTTGTCTGAGAAATCGCAATTGATATTTATATACGAATACACAGCTAATAGCAGCTGACTGGTCCCAACTTACTTGATTCAAAACGTGATTATTTTGACCTTCTGTTGTGCTTAGTTTATGAACGGCATCCGTAATGTTGGCCTCTTCACTTTCGGCAAACCATACCGGTGGCGACGATGGATATGTCTCCTGTTTGAATAAACCGAGAGAAAACAAAACATAACATCAAATCGCGGCTATATTTACTACTTATTCTATCATCGAATAAACATTGAGATAGAAATAAGAAACTCAGCGAAAATATCCACACTATTCCAAGTGGAATGAAAATGAAACTGCTTACAACGTTATTTTGCCTTTTTTGTTTCTCTCTGCCGTTTGAAATAAACGAAACGAGAGGAAAAAGTGACAAAATCATTATTATGCCAAAGGGAATGTATTTCGTTGATTTAAAATAGCTTCCAGCAGCTTAGCAAGCAACAAACGCAATGACTTTTGAAGACTCAAGTATTTAATGCTCTGCTGAAATATCATAAAAATTCTTTTGAGCGATAAACTAATTTTTTGCCCGGGCACAAGAAATGTAAAAGACAAAATGTAAACAAAACATATTGTCAAATTCTATTGAAAGCGAAATAGAAACTATTTAGCAAAATGAGAGAGTGTTTTCGTAATGGCGAAAATGCGTGTATAGCAGAGAATTTTATTTTCGGGATCTTCCTCTTCTTCTTATTGTGAAATTCCATTTTATTCAAAAATGCAATGTGACTTCGGATATTTGTTAACGTGAAATTACTTCTAGATCAGTTTTAAGTTATTTCACGTTAAAAAATATTCGAAATTACATTGCGTTTAATAAATTGAAAATGAATTTCACAATAAGAAGAAGAGGAAAATCCCGAAAAAACAGGATCTGGTGTATAGAACAACACAAACGTCGTCACATATAATAACAAACGTCATGCATTCAGCTTGAATGCATCAAATGAGTTTTCATTTTGATGCCATCTTTCTCTGTCATACTCGGCTGGTGTTCATGTGACATACAAGACCAAGTAAAACACAACACAAAGATATAGAGAGGGAGAGAAGGAGAGAAGGAGAGAGTGTGAGAGGGAAAGAGAGAGAAAGACAGTGAAACAAAAATTGCGAGAGCAAAATGTAGCGATAACGGCACAATGGAACAGAAAAAAAAGTATTCCCGATGATGACTTTGATTACAAAATTGAATCACCATCGAAATGAAATTCGTTTAAAAGGGCGAGCACATTGCTACAATTTCAAATGTATCGAAAGAATCGACGAAAGTTGTATATATAACAGAATAATAAAAAAGAGATGGAAAGGGGAAGAGAGAAATAGAACGCAATAATTACGGTTAAGTTTGCATGGATGTCGTAGTTTTTGCCATTATTCCCGATAAATCGACAGGTCATCTCATCGACGCTGGCATGCACAATTCGAAACCGTTCGTGGTTTTTTGTGAATGTTTTCTTTAGCGTTTCTATCTCCAACTTCAATCTGTTGAGGCATGCCATTTCACCGTGTTGTCTTCGTGGTGTCGCACTAAATTTATAAATTTAGGTGGTGTTAAACTATAGTTTTGCACTTGCCGTTGTTGTTCTTCCTCTCTTCTTCGATTCCAAATTATTTTTCGTTGTTGTTGGTGCTATGCGTGCTTTTGGTATTTCACTTCTATTTCTTCATTCGTTTGATATTATTTGTGAAGTTGAACACGGTCGCACTGAACTCTTATGAAAATGGCTTTGAAAACTGTTGCCGTACACTGTTAGGCACGTTTGAATTCAATTCTAATGTGTGACGGTTTTTCTTATTCTTCTGTTTTATTTGTATGTCTTTCTTTCTCCTTCACTGCACTTTGTTTGGTTGAAGAGTGTTGCAAGTGCGAGAGCTACCGTTCGAACAGACCAATTGTATTAACCGCTGTGAATAACACAAAACAAGTACCAAAACATACTTTGACAATCGATTTGTTTTGACAGTTCGAGCGTATGCGATGTCAATTCAAGTAAAGGCACGCCACCAGAGGTCACTGCGCATTTGTGGAATTCAATTCGAAAATCGAACAAAAACCATCAATATTTTCATTTGTTTTCGCTCATTGACTCTAGCATTCTATGAAATTCTTAGAAAAAGTGCAATTTTTCATCAAAAAATTAGTTTTCATCCAACTATGCAGAAACTCCATTTATTATCGCTTCGGTGGAAAAGGTTTCATCAGTTGTTCGCTGGAGAACTTTGTGATGGTATTAATATTGCCTTTAAACACAAGCCATGAATTTAATAATTATACAACTTTTGCTGGTAGATTATGAAAACAGCGTATAAACATACTATACCGCTATTTATCTAATTAAAAATCAACATTACATCTTCAAGGATTTAATTCTGCAGACGAATAAGTGGGAAACATTTGATTTAGTTCAATTGCAATATGAACATGTAATCAGTTTGAGGAAAATGTCAGAATAGATTCATCAAGCTTTTGAATACGCATTACTGTGCTGTTTCGACGAAAAATTTCAGTTGCATTGACGCTCATAATCTAATTTTACTCATCTCCATTGACGTACATTCCGCATATGTGCGTAAATAATATATGGAGACGCCAAATTTTATTCAAATGCAAGACGGCGTTGAGATTTAGAACCAATTTTAAAAAGGGTTATCAATCTTCGAGCTTGCTTTCTTAGCCATGTACTTGAGTTTATTACTCAATACCACTTCAAATCGAAGCTTATTTCTCAAATGTTTGAATGAAACGGGAGCATTTTTGCAAATAATTTATTAAAAAGCATCACAATTGGCCAAAATGAAAATCACTTCTTGGCGAAAATCGATTTGATGTATTTTGGTACATACGAGTGTTATTAAAAATCAACGTTATTAAAATCAGAATGAAATCACAACACTTGACTATCTGCTTTGAGTGTGTCATACAAGCCTGGAAAACACATTCTAGGTAGAAGATACAATTTTCCTATCACTATCATTTATTCTGGTTACTATAGCTATAATCATTTGTGTATTTTCCCTGTACGTACACATGATGCTTTAGCATATCCTGCACAGCATACTTTTGTAACTTATTCTGTACCTAAATTGGAAGAAATTAGCGAAAAAATCATGTTCGAATATTACCCGAATGTATGGCTGTTTGTTGTGGATGTTAGTGGTCAAAACCGTAAAAAATAATAAAATCATCATTGGATTCATTTTACCCTTTGTTGTCGAACAGATTTTACTAAATTTGATCTAAAGGTAATACGGCATTTTCGGCTCTCGTGCGTCGAATAGTCCAGAACAAACAAAGAGTACAGAAATAAATGAGTTCAATGATACTTAATGCTGAGATGCCCATGAATAGTCCAAGCAAACCACCACAAATCACCAAGAAATCGGTGAGCGTATACAATTCCACTCGATTCACTGTTTCCATTCGATCTTTGAATCTGATCAACAGACGCGTCTGATGAATTCTAAAATGTGGAATGAAATTTGAGTACAACCGAAAATATTTTACAGCACACGTGGATAAAAGTACTTCAATTTGCGACAGATATAACGTTTTTATTTGTTACGTATTCCGATATCTTTCGATGGAATTCTGCAGGAAATGATTTGAATTCAATTATGTCATAACAAAATTAATCGATGCACGACGAAGAGCCACTAACCAATTTTATTGTGATAATAAAATATCCAGGTTTCTCTCATAAATATATTTAAACTATTTTTGCTCAAAAATATATATTATATAGGTATATTATACCTCTTTTTCTCTAGTACCGAGATTCCCTTCGAAAAAATCCAGATAAAAAAGTTCAAAAAGATATATGCAGACGTCGTGATGCAGTGATTGCATAAAATCTGAGTAAACTCATTAAAAACATGCCAAAAACGCATTGATCTGTAAAAGGTCACGGATGAAATAAATTCATGGTTGACGTATGCAAAGTGATGCAAAATCAAATGCCGTTTTATGAATCGTTTGCATATATTTTGAACGAACGAACGAATGAACGAGCAAATAAATCGCATGACAGAAAAAAGCTGGGTTATCTTCCATGCAATTGAATTATTCGGAATCGAATGTTGGAACCATACCAATGAATATAAAACCAACAAATTAGAAGAATCGAACAGAGAGAAAATGCATGAAAAAAGTGGTTGTTGTGCCTGCAAATAAAACACTAGAAACATCGAGATAAGCATATAAAATAAAGGATCTGATATGCAGTGTGCGAATAAATAAAACAGTGGAAATCGAGAAGTATGGCGAAAAAAAAAATTTTTGGCATGTTTATTTGTGAAGTTAGAATGGATAAATGTCACACCGTAATCAAGCATGTTATTTTGACATACAAATCACCATATATACCCCATTGTAATATAGAATTCAGCGATTGTACCAAACATTTGTATGTTGTTTACTTCCATTCACCAGTATGGCTTTCGGATTTTTGTTTATTGTTCGACATGTGTTGGATTTACTGGTCTCGTGTATCGACAAGCGTGGCTGTCTCACTTTGTCGCTTTGGCTGCGGTGTTGTGCATTCACTTCAATGAAACGCTGCCAAATGAACCATTCAATTTTTTTTCTCCACACTTTGGCAGTTTTTTTCGGCTTGTTTTGTCATATTTATATGTTTGGCGCCGTCTTTTTTTATTGCCGATTATATATTCGTTCTAGCCGAGAGCGAGACCAATCATTTGCACACCACCGTTCATTTGAACATGCACACGCACACACACAAACACACATACACACACACACACTTGTTAAAACTTCTGAACTTGTTGGTCCTGGCATGTTCGAATGGGTTCATTCGAAACCTAGTTCGAAACGCTCTTCAACTAATCTATGCGTTGAATAAAACGATGGAAAGTAAAAAAAACAAATTTCGAGTATTTTTCGTTCGTTAAAATTCGAAACAATGGAACACTTTCCGATTTGAGTGAAAAACAACGGCGATAACAATCTCGAAAAAAAAGCTCTCGACACAAAAGGAAAATTAATTTGAAAAGTGGAATTTTTATCGAACCAGACATTTTCCGTTGAAATAAAAAAACACACAACGGTTCCCTTTGTCCGTTGGGTCGTATGACACATTATCACGATGCAAAAACATCCCAAACGTAAAACAACAATAAATTCAAACAATAAAAAAATCATTAAATAACATGAATAGAGCCCTGAAAAATGCCCGACCAGAAATAAATTCACATGAACATTAAACTAATGCCGACGCACAACAAAAAATGCGTATGAGTATTTTATGGCACGTATCACAGCGCAAAAAAAAAGATGATGATGATGTGCCGTTGAACTCATGTTCGACCCACTGTGCAGGCGATGCGACAACACCATGAGAAAGCGGGTGTTATTGTCACAACGCAATTCGCAAACAGTTCATTGCTGTTGTCCGTTGCATAGTACAGGCAGGCTACGCTAGTCATACGTTGCGATTTAACGATCAGACACAATCGAGATAAAAGCTTTTCTAAAACATAATAATCGATATTGGATTTTGGTCGTTTGTTTAACATTATTGTTATGTAATATGTAAGACGTTGTTACTTGTTGTGTTCGACGCGCATTCCGATTGGAGACGGAATATGAGAATATCCACAAATGGTTATATGTACGATAAAATAATCGTTTAAAGCAATTTTCCTCTGACCATGGACCAAACAGTGTGCACAATGAAATTCCATTAAAGAATATGGCGCGTAAGATGCACATTTCAACGGATTGGCGACGCCGAACCAGCGCCCCAGCAAGATGCAAAAGGCTCATTTAAAGATTGATTCGATACGAAAGTAATGTCGATCCACAATAAGTTTGACTTAATCTATTGCCGAACCATAGAGCTGGATATTCAAAAACCTGACACAGCACGAAAACTGACCACAACATGGTCGATGACTTTCACAGCGGAGATGATTCATTGAACGATGATCCAAAACATTGTGCTATTCAGACAAACCAGCCGTTTTCATCCATTAAATTTATCAAGCCGCATTAAAAGTCTGGGTCAATTTGTTTTATCGTATTATTTGAAATTACTGGCGAATTAGCTGGGATTAACGGCCAAACAAGATACAGACAATGTAAATGTCTACATTCCAAAATGATTGATCAATGATTACCACTTGTTTTGGTCGAAAATATTATGCGGGGTAGCCTTTGGCCGGTTTTTTTTGCACTTTGCTTGTGAAAAAACTTTCGAGCAAAATACAAATTCAAAATCAAACAAAAAGGAACATCCTCTAATTATTCATACGCTTCAGATGAAACACGACTCATAATTGTCCGGCGCTTTTAATTCACTTCAGTTAAACGGCATTGCACAGATTGTTTCGCTCTCTCTCTCTCTCTCCCTCTCTCTGCCTTGTTGTCTCTCTCGCTCTCTTCCTTCAACTACACCGCAAAATATTTGCGTTTTTAATGAAATGAGCTCTCATTAACTTGACGCACCATACAACAGACAAATTGAAAATAAACGAGAGAAGGGAAAAAAGCAGGCAACCAAGCAAGACAATCATAAATCTCATTAAATCTTTTCGTATGATAAAAAAAACTCCGTCCAGCAGAGATAAATGGTTGGAATCGTTTTTCATCTGCAAACTGAATTCTGCTGAATTCGAACAATAAGGCAAAGGTTCATGGGACAAATCACGAATAAATGTTTAAATCCAAGCGCTTTGTAATTCCAATGCAGCTCCAATTGTATTTTTTCCTCTCTTCGTTCTTCTGTTTCTTCTTCCACTTTGGCTCTATTACTGCCACTCGTTTTGCTCTATTTTCAAATCCAACCGACCGTACCAATTTTCCAGATCGTGTCATTTTACACAATTATTTAGCGTTGGCATAGGTCATATTCGATGCACGCATATACGAACACGCATATTAACGCAAATGTTTTAATAATTTATTTCAAGCATGAC